CATGACCTCTTAAATCTAGAGGCCCTAAACATGTGCTGTGTGAAAGTCCTCTCCAAGGTCTCTCGGCTCTGCAGGCTCCCACGTCCCTGCCCGCAGGCCTCATCAGTGTGGCGCTGCAGCTCTGTGTGCCATCCCACCTGCATCCCTGAGGGTACCCCAGCTGCCACCCTTCAGGGCCATCCCTTGGCCTGTATCCTCCTGCCCGAGCACCAGGAGGCTCCCAGGTCCCCTGTAAGGCTTAGCTCCTCCTCTGTGAAAACCTCCCGGGCCGTTTCCAGTTCCCCCAGCATGCACAGCTCCCCCTGCACACAAGGGTAGGGGGTCTGGTCACCCTCTGGTGGCCCCTTGCTGCCATCGCCGCAGAGTGTCTCCCCACTGGGCTCTCACTTCCTGGAGGGCAGAGCCTGCCTCTTCACATTCCAAATGCCCAGCACAAAGGAGACTGAGAAGCAGTGATGGGAAAGGAGTGGCCCCAGGAGAAGAGGTGGGGGGAGGAAGGAATTTGAGGCCAAGCGGCAAGAATTGTGACCTCACCATTCAGCTGTCTGATTTGCAAAAGGGCTAGGAAGACTGAGCCTACCTTTGCTCCCACATCTCCCAGACATCCGTGATCCTATGGCCTATTTTCCAGTTCACCTACATAGAGAAGAAAACTACCCTGACCAGCACGCAGAATCCAGATCACTAAGACATGAACCCACAAATGATAAACAGGAGCGGGTGCAAGACTAAATTCCGTAGGAGAGCCTTCCAAAAAGGTTTGCACACAATGACTACAATCAGAGAGGAAGAAAAGAATCTCTAAACTCCGGGGTCATTACTCTAGAGAGAAAATCACAGCCAGGGGTACAAAACTGTATTCTGTGAAGTGTTCTGCGCGCTCCTGGCTTCTGAACACAGTCCTCCGCTTGAACAACTGGGGTAGTGGTTTCTGTTCATGGCCGCTCTCATTAAATCTCCTTCAGCCCAGGTTGTTTGCTTCCCCTTTTGCCTCCCCAGCAGTTTGTCTCCTGTGCCGCAGTCCATGCTGCCCCTGTGTCCAGGAGGACAGTGCACACACGCTGGCTGGGACCTACACCAGGCCTTCACCCAGTGGAGGGGGACAGGCAGGGGTCTGCTTCCTCCAGGCCACCAGGAGCTATGTAACTTTGAGCAATGCTTTTTACTGCAGTGAGCCTATTTCCTCTTCTGTAAGAACATCGGGTTGAACTGCATGCTCCCCAAGGTCTTTTAAGCAATAAAATCCTGATTCCGTTAGTTGAGGCGGAAGGAGGACCTCCCGTGTCCCCTTGGGCGTTAAGTGATAAGAAGTCGTTCCCGCACCCTTCACCTTGGTGTTTTGGTCTCAAGAGATTAGGAACTGCAAGGACCACTGGGGAAGGAGGTACTGAGGTTCAGGGGAGACGCTAGTATCCCCCAGCTCTGCCCACAGCACCACCTGCTGTGTGCCTACTCGATTCCCGCCTAGACTCTAAGGCAAGCTTGTCCAACCCACAGTTTGTGGGCTACATGGGGCCCAGGATAGCTTTTAATGCAGCCCAACACAAATTTGTAAACTTTCTTAAAAGATGATGAGATTTTTGGTGATGTTTTCAAGCTCATCAGCTATTGCTAGTGTTAGTGTATTTTATGTGTGGCTCAAGACAGTTCTTCTGGTGTGGCCCAGGGAAGTCAAAAGATTCGACACCCCTGCTCTAAGGAATGTCACAGGACCACTGTGATGACAAGGGTCTGGGGTTAGAAGAGGGATGGGCAGAGCAGTGGAACAGCAAGGAGAGATCAGAAAAAAAGAAAAAGAAAACAAACGAGGATCTGAACATATAATACAGGTGTTACTGCAATGACACCTGAGGCAGCACAGTGTGGGCTGGCCCCATGTTGTTGTGGCACACACATCACCTCACAGGAGATGCAGCCCCGGGAGGTGGGAGCTGTCTCATTCGGTTAGCATATGAGGAAACTGAAGCCAAGAGTAGGACACAGTGATGCTGACAGTGAGCTGGAGTGCAGGGCCAGACACCACGGTTACCACCTAGGCCCCTGGAGACACTATTACAGACCAAACGGGAAAGCAAAACCGTCCCAACACCAAAGACAAAGGCGGACTTCAGAGAGCCTGAATCCTGGGTGTGAGCATTAAAACCAGGAGTTGAGACAGTGAAGCTCAGGGACCCAGGAATGAGGAAGAACTTTCTCTTTTTAACTGTGGTAAGACCTATATAACATAATATTGATCACTTTAAGCACTTGTAAGTGAACAGTTCAGTGACATGAATACATTCACAATGTTGTCCTCACCAATATTACACCCAAAACCTTTTTATCATCCCAAATGGAAACGGTGACTTCCCATTCTCCCTCTTCCAGCTCCTGTTCACCACGATTCTGCTTTCTGTCTCTCTGAATCTGACTATTCTGGGTAGCTCTTACAGTGGGATCATACAGTAGTTGTCCTCTTGTGTCTGGCTTATTTCACTTAGTATAGTGTCCTGAGGTTTCATTCATATTGTGTGTTAGAATTTTACCCTTTTTTAGAGCTGAATAATATCCCATTGTGTGTGTGTGTGTGTGTGTGTGTGTGTGTGTGTGTTTACTACAGCATCACATTTTGTTCATCTGTTGATGGACACTTGGGTTGCTTCCTCCTTTGTCTGTTGTAAATAATGCTGCCACGAACATGGGTGGATGAACCTGTTCAAATCCATGCTTTCAGTTTTTTTGGATGTGTATCCTCTGAGCAGAATTGCTGGGTCACACGGTAATTCTGCTTCTTTGTGAGGAACTACCACACTATTTTCCACAGTGACTGCGCCATTTTACACTGTCATCAGCAATGCATGATGGTTCAAGTTCTCCACATTCTCCCAGTTTGTTATTTTCTATTTTCTTCTTATTATTGTAGCATTCTTGGTGAAAAATTTCTTTTTTTTTTTTGAGACGGAGTCTTGCTCTGTCCCCTAGGCTGGAGTGCAGTGGCGCGATCTCAGCTCACTGCAAGCTCTGCCTCCCGGGTTCACACCATTCTCCTGCCTCAGCCTCCCTAGTAGCTGGGACTACAGGCGCCCGCCACCACGCCCGGCTAATTTTTTTTTTGTATTTTTAATTTTTTAGTAGAGACGGGGTTTCACCGTGTTAACCAGGATGGTCTTGATCTCCTGACCTGGCGATCCACCCGTTTTGGCCTCCCAAAGTGCTGGGATTACAGGTGTGAGCCACTGCGCCCGGCCAAGAATTTCTTAAATAAAACTTTAGCAGTATGTGTATCACAAGTCCTAAATATGGATAAATTTAAATACCTGGCCCATGATACAACACTTACCATATTTGTCCCAATAGAAATGTTTGAAGAAATTTTCTCCCGTCACTCATGGGGCTGTGTGAGGTCCTGGATACTGCCCTGGGTATAGCAGATTGCTCAGGGGAATACTAAAGCTATTCTTACTCAAGTAGTGCTCTTTGTTTGTTTGTTCATTTGTTTTTGCATCAAAACTAATTACATCTGTATTCCCAGATGGCCAGACTTGAGATAGTGTGAGCACTAAGAAGAATATTTAACTGTTGTAACACACTAAATTCAACAGAAAGTACATGGTCCATGGTTATCTTCATGGAGAGGGAGAGAAGGAATCTTCTTCTTGATTTCCAGTTTCATCAGAAATGTGTGAACATGGCTGTTCTGTAGCCCTGCATGATTCAGGCAGGGATCACATATGTATGCTAACACCATTGGATGAAGGATTGTTAGGGAACCCACCGATCACTCCATGCCAGGTATCAGCCCACAGATGCTTGTTACTTACAAACGGACATGAAGACCTTTTCCATGGAGAGATGGTGACCTGCCACCTCAACCACCCATCACGTTTAGCATCACACAGAGAGGGCGAGCCCAGCAGGCACCCCTGATCTGAGGAGGCTAAAGTACAGGCATCACCTGGTGACCAAAAATGTTTATCCCCAATCTTATCACGCCTCCAGTTTACAAGAAATACAAGCGTTGTAGAAAGCAATTGAGCGACGATCAGACGAACCCAGAATGTGGAACATTCTACAGACAAAAACTGACCTGGACTTCCCAAAAAGTCCATGAAAAAATACAGGGCGAGGGAATAAGTGTGGGACCATTGTCTTCTAGGAGCAAAACAAAGACATTTAACAACCAGTATAATTGAATTGGATACGTAGGTCGGGAAAACGCCGTGGAGGGGAGGACTGAATATAGATTGGATGTTAGATGTATCATGGAGTGATTGCTGGTTTTCCTATGTGTGACAGTAGGTGTTAGAGTTATGCTAAGAGACTGTCCCTATTCCTAGGAGACACCTGCACATGCACCTCAGAGTAACATGTCGTGCTGCCTACAGTTTATTTTTAATTTTTTGGAGAGCTAGGGATGCGTTTTATATATATTGTGTGTGTGGTGTGTATATATATGTGTGTATATATATGGTGTGCTGATATATATGATATATATGTATAATAATAAAAATATAGTTGAGAAGAAGAAGCAAATACTATTAAAATGTAAGCAGTTGTTAAATCTAGGAGTTATTGCTACAATTTTTTTTTTTTTTTTTTTTGAGATGGAGGTCTCGCTCGTCGCCCAGGCTGGAGTGCAGTGGGCGTGATCTCAGCTCACTGCAAGCTCCGCCTCCCAGGTTCGCGCCATTCTCCTGCCTCAGCCTCCCGAGTAGCTGGCACTACAGGCGCCCGCCACCGCGCCCGGCTAGTTTTTTGTTTTTTTTAGTAGAGTCGGGGTTTCACCATGTTAGCCAGGATGGTCTCGATCTCCTGACCTCGTGATCCGCCCGTCTCGGCCTCCCAAAGTGCTGGGATTACAGGCTTGAGCCACCGCGCCCGGCCAACTTTTTCAAGTTTTGTATATGTTTGAAATGTTTTAATGAAAAGTTGGCGGGAATTATATCTAATATTTCATGTTCAGTGTTCCTCAGAACTCTTATTTCCTGCCTCATGAAAGCCTTTATCTTTCTACTTTGCAGTTCGGGACCGAGTGAGATCGAAGATGGAGAGAGACATCTTGGCAGAAGTGAATCACCCCTTCATTGTGAAGCTCCATTACGGTAAGTAGAGTCAAAATGACACTGTAGAGAGGACCCAGGGCAACCTTCTCCAGATCAAAGAAAACTGAAAAAGAAATAACAGATCAGAAAGAAGACAATCTTTCCCATACCATGGAGTCCTGCCCTGCCTGGGGATGAAGGTGCCTTCTATCCTGATCGCTTAGTCTCTTCTGTATTTATTTTCTTTGAAAGAGCAAGAAGCCCTGTTTTCATCTCAAAGATCTAATTTTGATGGGGTATCCATTATTAAATTGTTACCATACCATTGATAATCTCAACCTAGATTGGGGTGAATCTATGACTTATTTTTGTGTTGTTTTAGAATAAAAAGCTCTATGACCCAATAATTTCTTTAAACCAGAAATGGTAACACCTTCTTCATTTCAAATGAATATCATGTTTAAAGATAGTAGCTCATTGACCCCTCAAAACTTCCATTCAAGGTAGCTTATTATTTTCGTGTTTCGAGGCTCAAATAATTAACCAAAGGCCACACAGCTGCTTTGCCACACGACTTCTCCTCATTTGCTGTCTGCCTTTTTATCCCAGTAGAGAAGCAGTAAGTGAAATCTTCAAATTAAAAAAAGATGGGATGAGATGGTGGCTGCAGACTCATGGCTTACTGCATTAAACTTTCCCACCTAATAAGCCAGATGAGCTAAGCACAGAAGGGAACAATAAAACCAGGAGTTTGTTCTTGGTTGCAAAGGACAAGGTGGTGTGTCGGGGAGGCGTTAAGTGAGATTTGCGTGGATCTGAGGACAGGATGAAGGAGGCCTGCAGAAGCTGGGCATACCCTGCTGTTCCTTCTGGGCCGTGGACAGTGCAGTTGCAAACCTCTACCTCCTGGCAGAGGAGGCCGCAGAGGCTGGCTTTGCAAAACTGCCCTCTCCGCTGCCGCCCAGCAGCTGGTGTCAAGTCCCATCCCACAGGTCATTTACGTTACTTGCTAGCGTGTTTTCTGAAGAAATTTAAGAACTGGGTGTCCTACAAAGAGCTTTAAACAGACCTCCACATCACCTCGGTGGTGACCCAGCGTCTCCACCTGCCTATCAAGCCCAGGATGAAGCATTTAATGCGCACTCAGTTTACACAGTCCTGGCAGAGGGCTTTCTAGCTAGAGGCTATGTTTCTAAAACCCCCACATTTATGATGTTTCTCGCATTTACTTTTAGAAAATAAAACGTTGTCTAGTATGCAGGGATATTGGGATCCCTTCCAGCCACACCTCCTATGTAGATAAAATAGACACCACGCGGTGCCTCACCAGTGCTGCCGCAGCAGCCATCGTCACAGCAGCGATGGTGACGGGCTTCTCTAGACCCTCCCGTGCTCATGCGCCCTCTCAACAGAGGCAGGTCCTTGCTGAGGGTGGGCAGGAGCTTGTAGCCTGCCTGTGGCCTGAAACAGAAAGTCTGCAGTTGCAGCTCACAGTGACCAGACCTCGGACGTGAGCCCCATTGTCTTGATGTACAAATAACTGGGCCGACCCGTCACCAGAACTGCCGAGAGAGGAAGGCAGGGGGTTCCCTGGTACCAGAGTGGAGTTCTGTAGGAAGAAGGCACTTCCATAGGGCAGAAAGGACACGTCCTCCGAACCAGAGCCACCTTCAGGCTGCTCACTAACGCATTACGACGAAAGCCAGCAACGACAACAGCTTGAATATGCACATCTTTCTCCCCGTGTATCTTTCAATTCCTTTGCAATTGAAAAAGGGAAGGAGGGGAGAAAAAAGAAAGATGAAAAAAATCTCAAGACCCCCTAAAACAGTGAGAGAGGGGCAGCCCTCACAGTGTCAGACCCCCTCTGCTGGATGCGGGGTCCTGCCATTTCTCAAGTGGCTCAGCCTCCCGGAATAAGCGGCACCTTGAGCAGGGAGAAGCCAGAGCCACAGGACATTCAACAACCTGCCAAAATGCGGGTCTCTCTCCCCTACAGCCTTTCAGACAGAAGGAAAGCTCTACCTGATCCTGGACTTCCTGCGGGGAGGGGACCTCTTCACCAGGCTCTCCAAAGAGGTGAGCAGCCACCACGTTACACAAGAGGGCGGGCAGGAGCTTCTGTCTAGGACTAGAGGGAAGGAGGGGTGGAGAGCACTGAGAGGAGATGAACACGTGCGAGAGTGCGTGTGTGTGTGGGGTGCATGTGTGAGTGTGTATGAGAGTGCATGTGTGTGTGGGGGGTGCATGTGTGAGTGCGTGCAAGAGTGCGTGTGTGGGAGGGATGTACATATGTGTGTGCAAGTGTGCATGTGTGGTGTGGGGGTGTGTGGGTGAGACTGTGCATGTGTGAGGTTTGCATGGGGGGTGTGTGAGCACATGTGCATGATGTGTGGGGTGTATGTGTTTGCGTGTGTGTGGTGTGTGTGGGGGTGTGTTCATGGTGTGTGGGGTTGTGTGTGCATGGTGTGTGGGAATGTGTGTGTGCATGTGTGGGGTGTGCATGTGTCATGTGGGATAAGTGTGTGGTATGTGTGTTGTGTGTATACGTCAGGTGTGTGATTTGTGGTGTATGTGATGTGTGCTGTGTGTGGTGTGTGTACTGTGTGTATATGTGGGGGGTGTGTTTGGCATGCTGTGTACATGTGTGGAGTTGGTATGTGTGGTATGCTATGTGTGGGGTGTGTGGTATGCTGTGTGCATGTGTGCATATGTAGGGTGTGTGTATGTGGGGTTTGTATGTGTGTGGGTGTGTGTGCTATATGTGGTATGTGCTTTGTGTGATGGGGCGTGTGTGTGTGTTTGACATCCTGTGTGCCTGTGTGTAGGGTGTGTGTATGTATGAGCTGTGTGTGTGAGCTGTATGTGGTGTGTGCTATGTGTGATGTGGGGTGTATGTGTGTGTTGGGCATGCTGTGTGCATGTGTAGGGTTGTGTGTATGTGTGTTGGTGTGTGTGTGAGCTGTGTGTGGTGTGTGCTATGTGTGATGTGGGGGGTGTGTGTGTTGGGCATGCTGTGTGCATGTGTAGGGTGTGTGTATGTGTGTATGTGTGTTGGTGTGTGTGTACGCTGTGTGTGGTATGTGTGGTGTGTACTATGTGTGATGTGGGGGGGGGTGTGTGTGTGTTTAGTGGTGCTGTGTGCATTGCTGGCTGGTTCTAAGGAAGCTGCACAAGTGGCCCTAGCAATCATCTCAGGTGACACCAGCAGCGCCCCTGCAGCTCCAGTACCATAAGTTACGCTGTTGACCTCTCGGCTAGAGCAGATGGAAGGCGCAGGTCAGTGGATAGGAGCGGCTGGGAAAGACTCACAGGGTCTGACTTTCCGTCCTGGGAAGAGGGAGGTATTGCTAAGCCGCCGCACATTGACGCTGTTTACTGCACGCCCCAGGGCTTCTCCTTGACCTCCAGTGCCTTAGGTGGGAACTCTCCAGGATGCAACTTCACCGCATCCTGAGAGCCCCATGGCCCTGATTGACATGAAAAGCACCCCACTTCGTGGTATGGCAAAAGGCATATTCTGCCCATGGCAGTGCCAGTGCCAGGCTTTCCATTCTGACGATCCTGCTTGTTCGTCTCTTATACAAAGGAGGAGTGGCCGAGGTGCTTTCACAGCAACGGTGGCCTTCACACCCCCCACTCCCTTTTCCCCACCTTCCCCCTTTTCAGCAGGAGACCCCTCTGTCTTGCACAAAGCCCCAAAAGAACAGTAAACCAAGGCAGAGCTGCTCGTGAGGTGGGCCCAGAGGGTCCCAGAGACCATGGCTGCCCTGTCCCTCTGCGTCTATCAGTCCCTCGGGCAGTGGTGCATGTATCTGTGGGACTCCGTGCATAGAGGAAAATCACTGGGCCGGGAGAACCTGATCCAAGCTCTACACGAAGCCCTTTGGCCCCTTCCTGTGCCACCTGCTGTGCGCCCATTTCCAAAGATGCTGGAGCCTGGCATCTGCCCATTCCTCGTGTGGTATCATCTGTTGGTTTGTCCGCTCCCCTCTCATCCACAGGGAGTCAGTCCATTTGGGGTCTGGTTTTGTCCAGCAACTGCTATGACACGCCTGTGGTTGGGCGCCCTGACCAAAAAGACAACAGTAATCATCGAAAAGCCCAGCAACTCTCACGTGGGAATGTGTCTCCCCTGAGGGCCTTTATTTCAGAGTAGGCGGAAAGTTGTCCCGGGCGGGCACCACAGATTCGTGGAGTCGGTGGGAACCTGCAGAATGTCTTTTCCTTGGGTCCTCATTCAGCAAGTACAGGGCCCAGCATCTTACGGGGATGGTCACTGTGCCAGTGAACCTGCAGGACTCACACCATGAGGTGTTTCCTTTCTATGGAGAAATGTCCTGCTCTTGTCCTTGGGGGTTACACTAAGAGCCGGGGGAGTGGAAAGACAGGTTTGCCTCTGAGCTCTAAATTGTACACACAACCCATGGTGGGCCACATGTGGATCTGTCAAGTCAGAGGAAAGAACCAGGCCACCAGCAGAATGTGCTGTCAGCCAGTCCACTGAGCACGTGAACCAACCTAGAAAAGAAACATCCATCTGGGAAAGGCGCTGGCCAAGCGTGGAACGGAGGACAGGGACTCAGGCAACTGGCGGGTGGCTGGAACATACATCCGGGAAAGGCGCTGGCCGAGCATGGAACGGAGGACAGGGACTCAGGGGGCTGGCGGGTGGCTGGCACCCACTGGCCACTGTCGGGACATGGAGCCTGCGTGTCCAGCCCCGTGGAAGAACCCCCTGTGTGAAGTGTGTGCCCAGCCATCAGCCTGACGCCACTCACCGTTCAGACACCCTGGCCACCCTTCTAGTTTTGTGCTTGCCGGGCAGCCTTCTGGCTGTGTGCTGATAATTCAGTAATCGTGTGGACTTGTAGTCTCCGTAATGTTGATTTCTCCTGACGAATATAGAAAATGGCTTGTGGGCATGATTTGGCTTCCTTGTAAGGGGGTCTACAAAAACTGTGTGCTGATTCTAACAAGTCGGGGGTGGGGATGAGTCATTGTGGGACGATGGCTTTGGGGTCTGTTGGGCTCCGAGGCCTCATGCATATTTCAGCTGGCCTGAGTGAGCCCCCAGCACATGGACACTTAGGCCATCCCTGCCTGATCACCTCCAAGCCCTGAGCTGTCCCTGCCACATGGGATCCTGGAATGTGGCCGCCCACCCCAACACCCAGAAACCCCTCCCCGTCCCGCCCCCTCGGCTTGGGGCACCCATAGCCGACTCTGCACCACCTGTGGGTGGTCTTTGGTAGAACTAATCCCACTTTGGGTTGACAGCAGGTTACATAGGCTACTAGTTTGCATCAACCCAAGTGGAGATAGATAATCCATGGGGAAAGAATGATATTCAAGACCCATTTTCGGTCACTGCGTCAAGCCCTCACAGAGTCTTACTTGTGTTAAACTCGTTATGAATTCACATCATTAGCACTCATATTGGAACGTAAACCCAGAAACCTACTCCAGAGCCAAATGACTTGCAGGGGCGAGAAGGACACAGAGAGGAGAGGCTGAATCTCAGCACCCCACTCTCAAGGCAGCATGAGTCACCTTTGCAGGAAGCCCTCGTCTCCATCCACTGATCTTAGAACTGCAGAGGGAACTTACTTTTCCATGAGAAGAGTCAGAAAACCACTGTGGGGGGCCACAGCGTTCCACAGAGCAAACCGACCCCAGTGTGCACTCTCCGTCTCTCTGGCAGCGTTCTGTAAAACACACCAGCCATAAAACAAGTTAAATGTTTTTGTTTGTTTTTTTCTTACTAGGTCATGTTCACGGAGGAAGATGTCAAGTTCTACCTGGCTGAACTGGCCTTGGCTTTAGACCATCTCCACGGCCTGGGGATCATCTACAGAGATCTGAAGCCTGAGAAGTAAGTGAGAAAAAACCAGGGCTGACTTCCCCAAGCCCATCAGCTCCGTGTTTTTTGCTGGGCCGTGTTGGTAGCCGCTGCTAGATATTTATTTCCTAAATGAGGACGTATCAGAGAGCAGGCTGGGTAGACTCGTGTGCCGGCAGGACTGGCTCAGCCATCGGGTGGAGGTGTGGCCTTGCTGATTTGCATAGGAAACGCCCAGGCCCGTTCCCACCTGACACTCATAAGGCCTGAGGGAGGGCAGGCTCAGGTGTGTGTCTGTGATGTACAGGAAGCCAGAGCTGGAGAAGGGCACGCCCACCACCCTGACCCACATTCCCGCCCTCTCTCCTGGGTGAGGCTCATCTGGCCACTGGGGACCATCTCAAACATGGCTGCCTCCAGGGCAGTTTCTCCTCCTCTGTCATCTCTTCCCCGCCGTCCTCCAGATTCAGGAAGCCCTTTCATCTACTTCAGGAAGCCCCCCGAATGTGGTCAATGAACCTCTACTCAGTTACTCGTCGGCCCCACCTCTAGGTACCCAGTCAGATCAGCTCGCCCAAGAACGTATCTAAAAGACAATGGCCCCAGAATTCCCAGGCCCAGAGTCCACTGAGATTTGCGTATCCTTGGCAATGGTGACCCGTGAGGCTATGATTTCTAGGATATTTGGTAATCTGTTCTAAATTTTTGAACAATAAAGGCCCTCCAAAATAAGAGTGTTCCCATTTTCCTTTCGTTGTTGTTTTTACATTTTCTTTGTAGACCCGACACATAACTAGGAGTGATCCACTTAGAAAAGATGAGATTTGGAGGATGGTATTTTAGGTTGAGTTGACCTCAGCAGTATCCCTGAGGTGAAGTAGCTGATTATCTCACTCGCTCTTCACTGCCCTGAGGGGCTGATTAATGCCACCCACCCAGACCAGGGCCCACAGCCGCCCCTAGATGAGGCATCACCTGGTGGCCTGGTGAGACCGACCAGCCTTGGGTACCACCAGGCAGCCCCGAGCCTGTGAGCTAAGACCAAGGGGGCTCTGGGGTCTGCAAACAGGTCTCAGCTGCTACTCCACATGCCTGCCCTGTCACCTGCGTGGTACTGAGAAAAGACAAGCCCTGCTCTGAAGCTGGTGTTGTCAGATGCAGCTGTCATTTATGGGAAACAGCTGGGTTTACCCAGCAACCAGGTCACATCCCATATCCACCACAGGATGTAAAATGCATTTGCCCATGTGCTTGATGATCTGACTTCACCACCAGTCCGTGGAAAGCCACAGCTGCACATGTGAGTTGAATACGTGTGTAAATACAGCTGGAGCATCCCTCATCTGAAAGTCCAAAATCTGAAATGCTCCAAAATCCAAAACTTTTTGAGCCCCAATGTGACACCCCCCAGTGGAAAATTCCACACATAAGCCCTTAACACAAACGTGGTTTCATACACAAAATTATTTAAAATATTCTGTAAATTAGCTCCAGGTGATGTGTAGAAGGCATATATGAAACATAAATGAATTTTGTGCTCAGACTTGTGGCCCATCTCCAACATATCTCATTATATATAAGTAAATATTCCAAAATCCCCAAATCCTAAACACTTCTGGTCTCAGGCATTTCAGATAAGGGACGCTCAACGTAGAATCATAAAAGACTTGATCTGGAGTAATCCCACGAAGAGAGTAGCCTCCTAGCAGCTGCTGTCTCCCCCCAGGAGCTGCAGCACAAGGCCAGATTTCCATTTCAAAGTGGGTCTGACCTAGAAGAACCCCGTGGTGCCGGGCCCTGGGCCTCCCCTTTCACCCCTCCCTAATTGGGAGGTGATTGCAGAGCCTGGCCTGTCACCTTGGGTCCTTGCAAAGGTCATCCCAGAAATTAACCTCGTGTTAATTACCCTCTAAGTCGGAGTGCTGTGTTGTGAGTCTATGTTGTGAGTCTGTGTGGACGTTGCCACTGCTCCTCCTCCCGTGGCCCTGGCTGTTGATGCCTGTGTGTTAGACGCACACCCCGTGCATCCACTCAGGCCGGGAGTGCCGGTTCTCGTTACTCCTGAAGGTCAGCGTGATCCTATAGCTAAAACTAGCCTTATTTAATTGCAGGCTTGAAGGAAAAGGTTGTGTTGTTCAATTAGAATTATTAGAAAATTAATCTTGAAAGGTGCTTAATTCTGGGCAAAGATTGAATATGCCCAAAAGGCAAATATGAAAACATTTGCCTTGTTCTTTATAAATTGTTATCTTAATGATATGCTGTAACTTTTCCTTCCCATTTCCAGAAAATAGTAGGTTTTTTTTTTTTAACTCCGTGGCAGATTTTTTTTAATTGTAGAAAAATACACATGACTTTTACAGTTTTAACCACGTTTAAGTGCCCAGTTCAGTGGCATTAAGCACATTCCCATTGCTGGACCACCATCCCCGCTGTCCATCTCCAGAACTGTTTCATCTTGCAGAACTGAAGCTCTGGCCCCCTGCACAGCATGCACAGTAGCTCCCCAGCCCCCGGCACCCGCCACTACTTTCCATCTCTGTGACTCCGACTCCTCTAGGGTCCATACATTTTATATTTGTAAAATCATATAATACCTGATGTTTCGGGACGGGCTTATTTCGTCGAGCATGATGTCTTCCGGGCTCCGCTGTGCTGTAGCGAGTCAGGCTCTCCTTCCTTTCACAGGTTTCTATAAAGGTGTCACAGATTAATCCTCCAAGCCTTGCCTGTTTCCAGCCCACTTCCTGGTCTCTTTAGGGCGAGGCTGGTACCTACCAGCATCTGGAAGAACAGGATTTAATTACAGCCAAATAAATAAATACATAGGGAAAGTTTGGGGCCACAGGGGTGTCAAAGTATCACAGCCCAGACTCCAGCCTGACGTTCAGGGAAGAAGGGATTTACGCCTGCACCCAGCCCTTTACGGACCCTGCCTCCATTCTCTATGCAGGGTCCGCCCCACGGCAGGATACCTGGGAGGAGCAAAGGCAACTCTCACGTCAGGCAGGTGGCGTAACAAGGGCTTGGCAGGGAACAAGACAGAGACCCACTGGCCCGCAGGGGTGCCAAGTAGGGAGCAGGTCTCATCCCAAGATGTACCTGCTGAAGCCTGAAGTTCCTTGGTGCCATGGCCCCTGCTTGTGCAGGCTTCACCTGGGATAGGTCTCAAGAGCCAGGGCGGGGATCAGGGGAGGATACATGGGAGAAGAAGGGGGTCTTTGGACATCAAAGGGATCCCGAGTGCAGAAACATTCTTTCTGCGAGGCTCTGGGTCTCCACAGGCCAGGGCGGTCCCAGGACACTCTCCACCTGTGCTTCATGCACAGCAGTCTGGAGGGCTCCCAGACCTTCCCTGGGGACCCACGAAGGTCTAAAGCCAGCAGTCCCCAGCCGCAAGAACACACATCCCTTTGTCCAGGAGGTGTGGCACCAAATGCATTGTTGAGCTGGGAGCTGAGGAGAAGGGAGGCACGATGGGAAAGCCCACTGCACAAGCCATGGGGACCTCCTGGGCCAGCTTCATCAGGGCTCCCTGAAGACGTCCACCCGCAGCTGCCCCGCAGCTCCCCTCTGAGCTCCGCGTGCCCGTCAGCAGGCTGGGTCTCTTTCTAAATCATCTGTTTTCTTTCCCTTTCTTTTAGCATCCTCCTGGATGAAGAGGGACATATTAAGATCACAGGTTTGTAAAAGATGGCAGGCTGCCTCCGTGGCTTCATCTCAGCCCTGGTAACTGGGGACCACCTCAAAGCCCAAGCCCTCTTATTTAGACCACCCTTCCCTTTGCCAGATGCTTGTCTCTGATTTGGCAGAATTTTCTATAGCTACAGACTGGTTACGGCATTGTACATCTTCATAACATCCAGAACCATGCAACTTCCCCGGTGGCCCCTTCTTTTCCCTCTCCCCCGCCAAGCTCTGTTTGCTGGGCTCCTTAATATCGCTGGGTGTTTAGTTCAGGAGTCCCAATGCCCAGTGCTGACCTTAGGGCAGACATCTGGTGTCTCGCTGGAGTGCGGCCTGCAATGTGGGCCTTGCTGATGCCCAGTGCCAACCTGAGGGCAGACATGTGGAGTGTCGCTGGAGTGTGGCCTGCAATGTGGGCCTTGCTGATGCCCAGTGCCAACCTGAGGGCAGACATGTGGAGTGTCGCTGGAGTGTGGCCTGCAATGTGGGCCTTGCTGATGCCCAGTGCCAACCTGAGGGCAGACATGTGGAGTGTTGCTGGAGTGTGGCCTGCAATGTGGGCCTTGCTGATGCCCAGTGCCAACCTGAGGGCAGACATGTGGAGTGTCGCTGGAGTGCGGCCTGCACTGCTGTCCTCACTGCTGCTGTCCCTGCCTCCTCCTCACTCCCTGGACTGTGGTGGTGGCCACGTGACTGCCCTCCCTGTTTCTATCTAAGCCACCGGCAAGTTTAGTCAAACTGGAAACAACTCCTCTAGTCTCAGGACACCCCATTTGTATGAGTTCCCTATTGCCCGAAGGCAAGCTCACATGGTCCTGCTTTCGCTGAGCAGGGCTCTGCCACACCCACCTGGAGAGGGGACAGAGCCCACAGAAGGACACTGATGCCCACCTGTGTGGGTACCCCCGAACACACCCAGAGACTGAGGCAATGTGTGTGCTTTGTTTCCCCGAACACACCCAGAGACCGAGGCCGTGTGTGTGCTTTGTTTGCATGTAGATTTCGGCCTGAGTAAGGAGGCCATTGACCACGACAAGAGAGCGTACTCCTTCTGCGGGACAATCGAGTACATGGCCCCCGAGGTGGTGAACCGGCGAGGACACACGCAGAGCGCCGACTGGTGGTCTTTCGGCGTGCTCATGGTGAGCCTGCCCCGACCCTCTTCCGTGCTATGGTGGCTGTTCCCCACGTGGACCCCTGTCCCCAGGTTGGTTCAGAGGTCCCGGAATGCGGAAGAAGGCAGTGCCTGAGGGCTTGGGACACAAGGCAAGTGTCCAGGCCAGGCATTTCCCGGCAGCCTCCTCCCCATCCCGCGTCCCCACCTCAGAAAGCGGGGCTGGGATGCAAACGAGAACGCAGACGTGTGAGGAGTTGAACCCTCTTTATGCTTTGTGCTCTTGGGGCTTAGCGTGATGATTACAAGAGACGCCATGATTTTCGTATTAAAATATTTTTCTTATTTAAACACAGAATCCTTGCACTTAGTTACAAACTGAGACGTACATGGAGTTAGGCATTTTTGCATCGGCGTCTGGAAAAATGAATTGTCTCTGTCACGTGTGAACAGACAGAGTGCATAACCGAACCCGGTCTGGACGGGGCCTTCTGCACCCTAGGAACGGTGTGGGTTCCTTTTCCGATCCTCAGCAGACCCTCCCTCCCTCCCCCAATCCCACCCTCCCAGCTGGGCAGGGGGCTCGTGACCTCAGGGTGGAGCAGACGTGCACTGAGTGCTCTGGAATCTGACCTGGATGACAATGGGGTTGTGGCATTTCAGGGGTATCCCGCACTCCGGCCTGTGCATCACACGCAGGAGGAAACTGAGGCCGTAAGCACTTTAGGAAATGGGATGAAGGTTGCTCTGCTGGCGTGTGGTGGAACTGTGTGCCTGCCAATCCCAGTTCCCTTCAGAGTTCAGGCCGCCGCTCCTCCCGCCTCCCACCACACCCCACCCCTCGTCCCCTTGCTAGGGAACCCCAGTGCTGAGTCCTGCGATGTTTCCTGGGGAACCCCCGGTTGGTACCCAAGGCCTCACTGGTCCTTTGCCACTTGGGTCACTTCACTGCACCACTCTCTAGGCTCTGGCCTCGGCCCCAGGAGCTCACAGACCCTGGCTGTGTCCCACGTGCCCGCACGGGCTGCTCACCTCTCCCTGAGGGGCAGACATACGTTAGACGAGCTCCGGAGATGGGTGTCCACAGCCTAACCCAGAAAGCCAATTCGCAGTCAGATGCCCACATCACATTCGTGGCTGCTCCTGCCTGTGGAAGCCCCTTCCCTCCCTGGTCATTCCTGCCTGGTACAGCGAGTCACAACAGAGACAGTCATGCAGTTCAACACGTGAGCACAGGCATGACGCTTGAGAGAATGCCTGCAGCAAAGCGAGGGGCCCACGAGCTCAGCCAGGAGGATGCTGCTGTGGATTTATTTTTTTTTATTATTCAGACCTTCAGTGGCACCAGCTAAGGGGCAGGTCCTCTCCATGTGGAGACCACCAAGCTAAGTCCCCCATGGTCACCTCTGATACCACTTCTGCTTTCCTGTCCATGCAGAGAACACTGAGCTAAGTCCCCCACGGTCACCTCTGAGACTACCTCTGCTTTCACCTCCATGTGGAGACCACCGAGCTAAGTCTTACCCCACCATCATCTGAGAGCACCTCTGCTTTCCTTCCACTGAAAGAGTTTTTCTTTAGATACGTCAGTGAGACAGGTTCGCTTTGCTGTCTTGGAGGTGGCTCCACTCCCTTCCACATATGTCGGTTTCCTGTGTGACCCTGGCTGGTGAGTGGTGGGTGAGGGCAGCGGGGATAGCCTTGTGGAGGCCTCTCACGCTGGTGCAGGTTTTGCTGGCGCAGGGAATTCTGACATTGCCTTTGCCAGCGCTGGGCTATGGGTCCAAGCTTATAGTCTGTGGCTTCAGGAGAGATTCCAGTTCTTATACCCCTCCTGAGAACCCCAAATTCCTCCAGAGAGCAGAGCTGGCCACGCTGCACACCCAGGCTCCCTGAAAGGGCTCCTGGCATCCTCCTGTCTCTGACTCCTATCCTGTAACTCTGGGCTCACGAGTGGCCCATACAGCAGTGCTTCAGGCCAGCCTTTGTGTAATGAGCAAGGTCATAAAATGCTGCCACCCGGCTCTCAGGCGAACCGATATTTAAAAGAACAAGAGGCCAGGCTGGAGTGGAGAGGAGTACCTTAGCAGAGAAAAGTGCAGCCAAAACACCACATATAAGTCAAAACCAACCGGACTTAGTTTTGTGAGGTTTCTGGGGGGGTCGGCGGAGGCGGGAGTTGATATTCTTCTGTTTCTTCTATTAAGGCAACAGATCATAAACCTTTCTCATAATATAAAATATATCTTTAATCTTTTTCTTGTGTTTTTTTGTTTGTTTGTTTTTGAGACGGAGTCTCGCTGTGTAGCCCAGGCTGGAGTGCAGTGGTGCGATCTTGGCTCACTGCAACCTCCGTCTTCTAGGTTCAAGCAATTCTCCTGCCTCAGCCTCCCAAGTAGCTGGGACTCCAGGCACCCGCCACACCCAGCTAATTTTTTTTTTGTATTTTAGTAGAGACGGGGTTTCATTGTGTTGCCCAGGCTGGTCTCGAACCCCCAAGCTCAGGCAATCTGCCAGCCTCGGCCTCCAGAAGTGCTAGGATTATAGGAGTGAGCCACCACACCCAGCTTTTCTGGCCTTTATTGCTACAAATTTAAAAAACAAATGGAGAAGCTGAAAGAGAAAAAAAAATAGGAGAACAGAAAAGACATCAAAGGAATGATCCAAAGATGGAGACACAAGGAGAGGCCAGAAGAAGAGGAAATGAGACCACGCTGCATTCGTGTTGCTCCAGCAAACTCCTTCCGGGTTCCCTCCCACCATCAGCCCTAAGACAGAAGCACCACTGCCAGTGGCCTTTGCTGACCCTGGCAGGGTTGGTGGCTCTGGCTGGTGTTTTCTCGGCACTCCTGGCTTGCCACTGCTCTAACATCTACCATCTTGTATCGTCATTGTCTGTCTCTCTGAGTGTCTCCTGGCACATGGAGTTTCTTAAACACCAGTCACCCTTACCCAAGATGCCCCAGCACAGACAAAAGTGCCTGTACCCGGCCAGGCCTCCAAGGGACCCATGAGGGAGTGACGACACCAGGGTGGAAGCAGAGAGGCACTCACACCCAGACCCAGTACCCGGCAGCCCTCACCTGTCCTGGAGTCCCCGCCCTCCCCGTCCCTAGAGCGTGGAGAAGATGGCATTGAGAGCTTCTGAAGGAGGCCTGGCCCAGCACTGCCCGGCACGTCAACACACCAGGCACCCTCCTCCCACGTGCGTCCCTGGGCACAGGACATTTCTTACTGAATTGTTCACTTGTTTGCTGGGATCGTCCCACGTTCAGTGTCTCGTGACAGCTGGGGAAGGGGTCCAGCTCTAGAACGGCTGTGTCCCTCTCGAGCCCGAGGCAGGGCTGGCTGTTGCAGTGGTGACCACAAGCTAAGGCTGCCCGGCCATCTTCACATTGGATCTCAACCTGACAATCTTCAATCCGGCAGGAAAGACTGTGTTCTTTCTGTGCACAAAAATGAAAACTAAAGCTCAAAGAGCCTAAGTGTCGGGCTCAAGATCACATATTGTCCCAGAAACACATTCTCATTTAGTCCCGCCCGCCCACGTGGTGACGGGCCGCACACAAGCAAAGGTCTTGACTGTGGGGGCCTCACGCTTCCCACACTTCCGTGGGTGGCATCAGAAGTGACTTCTGAATTCTCATTTGCAGCTAAGAGATGGGCCTCGGGTGACCTTTCAAGTCATATCTTACCCAAGCCTTGTAAGGGGATCGGTGCAGAGCCGTTGTGCGTGTGAGGGGCCTTGTTTTAAAAGAAGGCTGAGACCCTGGAGGCCGCGTGCTGAGGGAGTGGTCCTCATGTGTGGGCGGCCGTCCATCCCCTGGAGATGGATATGTGCTGGGATCTCTTCCCAAGGAGCAGCATCCACAAGTGCCCTCCACAGACCTGGAAGGAAGGATGCCTATGCCAGAGGTGGGAAGTCAGTGTCCCTGAATAAAATTCCGTGTCTGAAATTAGGAGCTTGTACCTGGAGAAGAATGTGCAAACTTGGTGGCCGGCTGCATAGTGATGTTTGTAGAATTTCCAGCACTCCTCTATGCCAGACTGGAGCCACTTTCTAGAAGGATATTTGGGTTGTGTTTTGTAAACATCTGAAGCATCTCTTGAGCACTCTGGTTTCATGAGACCACTTTATCCTTCTCCTTCTTAACCACTGACGACACCAGGGTGGAAGCAGAGAGATACCAGTTCTTATACCCCTCCTGAGAACCCCAAATTCCTCCAGAGAGCAGGGCTGGCCACGCTGCACACCCAGGCTCCCTGAAAGGGCTCCTGGCATCCTCCTGTCTCTGACTCCTATCCTGTAACTCTGGGCTCACGAGTGGCCCATACAGCAGTGCTTCAGGCCAGCCTTTGTGTAATGAGCAAGGTCATAAAATGCTGCCACCCGGCTCTCAGGCGAACCGATATTTAAAAGAACAAGAGGCCAGGCTGGAGTGGAGAGGAGTACCTTAGCAGAGAAAAGTGCAGCCAAAACACCACATATAAGTCAAAACCAACCGGACTTAGTTTTGTGAGGTTTCTGGGGGGGTCGGCGGAGGCGGGAGTTGATATTCTTCTGTTTCTTCTATTAAGGCAACAGATCATAAACCTTTCTCATAATATAAAATATATCTTTAATCTTTTTCTTGTGTTTTTTTGTTTGTTTGTTTTTGAGACGGAGTCTCGCCGTGTAGCCCAGGCTGGAGTGCAGTGGTGCGATCTTGGCTCACTGCAACCTCCGTCTTCTAGGTTCAAGCAATTCTCCTGCCTCAGCCTCCCAAGTAGCTGGGACTCCAGGCACCCGCCACACCCAGCTAATTTTTTTTTTGTATTTTAGTAGAGACGGGGTTTCATTGTGTTGCCCAGGCTGGTCTCGAACCCCCAAGCTCAGGCAATCTGCCAGCCTCGGCCTCCAGAAGTGCTAGGATTATAGGAGTGAGCCACCACACCCAGCTTTTCTGGCCTTTATTGCTACAAATTTAAAAAACAAATGGAGAAGCTGAAAGAGAAAAAAAAATAGGAGAACAGAAAAGACATCAAAGG